GACATGAGCAGTGAAGCAGGTAAAAAGGGCACTGAAGCCAACACAGCCTTGTATTCCACCTACATGCAGGCCCTAACACTGTGTCCTTATTTGGGGCACCAGAGGGGTCCATGCCTGCAAGCACAATAGATGTCAGAGGATTCATGCTCAGCAGGGTCTACTGCATGCAGAGGGAATGTCCAGAGGCCCAATTCCTGATAGCAAGATTCATGGAGGTGCAGTGCAGAATCACATCCATGTTTTGAGCTGGTGGAGTGTCCCTCCAGGGATCAGTGGAATGTCATACCTCTGTATTGGTAGCTTTCCATCCATATTCATTGACTGAGCAGCTGTATGAAAAGACTGCAGATACTGTGCAGCTCTGATTATTTTACTGGCTTATTATGTTTATTAGTCATTAAGAGGTAAGTTATGAGTCTCCAAGCCTTCTTCATGCTCCTATTGTGCTCTCTTTTAGTTAATACCTATTGCCTTTAATTCTTCTTCCATATGTTTTAATCTTACAGGCAGATAGCCATTACTGCGAGTTAACCTAGCACGTCCATTAATACCTACAATCATCCAGTATTTACCAAGTCTAGAATTTATTCTACAATTGAAAATTTTGTTTCTGTAATGTACTGAGACATCTTTGTGGAGCCTGCTCTTTAAATTATACTATAAAATTATGTTGCACCATCAGAATGCCAAGTTAAGTGTTTTTACACCTTATTTGACACTATGTAGTATTTTTCATAAAGCATATGCTATCAATTTTATAATGGATGGATACTTTTCCTCCGTTTCTTTTTGTTTGTTTGAATGATATGTATTCTTATTATTATTATATATATATATATATATATATATATATATATATATATATATATATATATATATATATATATATATATATATATATATATATATTTATATTAGTTTTTCAATGATTATTATTCTTAACTAAAAACCTTTCAATAAAAAAATATTTGACAAAAATGCCAAGTTACATGACATTACCCAATGTATATGACATAATCAAGCCTACAGAGGTTAATAGGACCCCCATATTAATATAAGGAGGTATAATATGACTTTCATGATCCCACATGGCATGTCTTTTAAAGAGTAAGTATCCATCAACTGCTCACTGTAATTAAAAACTAGCAACTGGGCACTAAGAAAGACCTCATTTAATGAGGCCTGCGTAATTCTGGGTGGGGTGGGGGGAGGTTCTCTCTGTGCCCCCACCCATAGGCATTGTGTAGAGTTTAAAATTAAATAATAGGACAGCTTGCTGCTCACTTTTTAGAAGATATTACCCTATCTGTGGCATCGTGGGTGGGGGCATAAGCAGGGCCAGATTTTCAAACTCATTGGGCCTGGTGCTGACAATTATGATGAGCCTAATTACAGAAACTTATCAACAGAAAACACTAAAACAGTGTCATGTATCTGGTGGAGGTGGTGCTGGAGGGAAAAATCACAGGATATAGCTATCAGAAAACACATACCACTTGCTAATCTCGCTCTTTCATCTTATAAGTAAATTCTTACCCCCTAACAGCAGTGTTCAGTGAAGCAGCACTTCGGTGGGTGGGATAAAAGGATAGGCCACTGACGCAAATCACATAACCAGCACGGCCCAAATGGGTGAACATGCCCAACAAAGGTGACATGTCTGCCCCAAAAATTGGAAGGCCAGCCTGACGAGAATGCAATTTAGGTTGCCTACCATTCATACAAGCTGGCCAACTATGGGCGTGTTAGACAGTGCCCTAAGCTTGGCATAAATGCGTTTGATGCTCTTGCTCCACGCTTTCTAAAGACTGTCCCGTAACAGTCACTTGTCCACTCCTTTTCTTACCATCTTACTAGCAGGCAGAAGCTTCTGTTATACAGTCTGGGACAGAAAAAAAAGCGTTTGTAGTGAGTGTAGAAGAAAGGGAACATGCCACAATGTTAGAGATCCTGAAGCAGCAAGAGCATTCGCATAGAGCTCAAAGTCTGCTTTACCTTAACTAATTTAATTGTCAGCCAGTCAATGCCAGGTATGTTCCCCTACATCCATTTTAAGTTTCCACACTTAAGCAAGATCATGAGAAGAGCAGAAGAGTGAGAAGAGTGTGAGTGCAATAATAAAAAAAAAGTGTGTGTATATATATATATATATATATATATATATATATATATATATATATATACACACACACACACACACACACACACACACACACACACAGTTGCAAGAAACAGTATGTGAACCCTTTGGAATGATATGGATTTCTGCACAAATTGGTCATAAAATGTGATCTGATCATCTAAGTCACAACAATAGACAATCACAGTCTGCTTAAACTAATAACACACAAAGAATGAAATGTTGCCATGTTTTTAGTGAACACACCATGTAAACATTCACAGTGCAGGTGGAAAAAGTATGTGAACCCCTAAACTAATGACATCTCCAAGAGCTTATTGGAGTGACATGTCAGCCAACTGGAGTCCAATCAATAAGATG